AAGAGAATTCGGCCGTTTCCGTTCTTAAAACGCACGTGTGTGGGACACACATATTTTTAAACCGGGACACCCCCAGAAATCGACAGGCCTAGCTTTTCCTTTTAGGTTTGTACCTCGGCGTTGTCTCAGTTCCACCCAAATACTTTGTTAAACACTCAAAACACATCGGATTCTATGCTGAGTGGGTGCAACTCACAGGCCATGGGAACAGAAGACAAGGCAGTTCTGTCGCCGGCTGGTGCACCTGAGTGACTTGGGCCATCTCACGCCCCTAAGGCCGTGTCACGGGCTTGCTTGTCTAGAGAACCAGCCACCTCTCTAAGGTCAGAAATACGCAAACGGGACAAAACGCCAGGTAGGCCGAGGAGAGAGGACAGCGCCCAGTTGCGCCTGGGTGATGGCCCCGGGGGCCCAGCGGGGACACGGCTTACCTCCGGGTGGGAACGGCACGAGGAGGGGGCGCCTGCTGCCAGCATTGCTGCTCCGGCTCTGGAGCTGGAAGCCGGCTCCGCGCCCGGCCGACGCGCGCCCTTCTAGAAACTCCCGTGATTTCTCACTCGGGACCCTGGCGGGCAAGCAGCCCGGCTGCTCGGGGAGGGCGCGGGGCTCGCTCCCGAGCTTGGCGCGGACGCCCGACGTACTGGTGGGTGGAGGGAAATAATAGGTTATCTCCGGCTTTAATGCGATCTTAAAATAGCGGGGAAAGTTTTCTGTTGTGACCCTGACACGCGTCGCGGCGATGGCTTTGAGAAGGGCGGCCGCTGCGGGTGAACCGAGAGCTATATAGAGGCTTGTCGGGGGCATTGGGGGGCGCTCCGCTTACCCTTCAATATGCAGAAGTTCCCCGGCGCCCTCGGATCCCTCTGACAGGCCTGTTTATAGCTCTTATTTAAAGCCCTGTTTTATTTTTAGGGAATAAGCACCGAGAGATGCTCCTTCCGTGGAGGCCGCCCAGGGCCCTCCTGTTGACTGACTTGGTTCTTTCCTGGGGGTCCGGGGTGGGGGGTCGGATAAAGAAACACATAGAGCGATCAAAAGTGGAAGCTTTGTTTAATATTGCTCTACCATCATCCTGAAAGGCATAATAATTTGAATTACACATCTGAACCGATTGGAGTTACAGAATCATATCTCCTTTTTGCATTTAACAATATATACAATATAAAATAAATACATTTACACAAATGGACATTGGTTGGAGCACACGGTATGGTACACATCACAAAAATATACAATTGATTGCTTTAAAGACGTGGAGCCCATCTACAGCTATAGACATGGTTTTATTATTATTATTATTATTATTATTCTTTTTACTACTGGCTATAATGCAACTCCTGGATTACTATAAGCAGTTTAAATTTTTTTCTGTCCTTTTACGATCTTTGCACATAAGACTGCCATAAAATGTTTTCCGAGGCAGGTAAACAGAGACGCTTAAATAATTAAAATACAATCACCAACACCCATTTTCTCTTCTATAAGAAAAATAGCAGTTTTAAATTTTTTATATCTTTTATGTTATCATTTAAATGCAAAATAGTGGAATAAATACAACAATCTGAGCTGATTGAAACACAAGTGTAACAGCAGGTAGTTCACACGATCGTATTGCTTTAAATAAGAACCCGCTGGAAAAAAAAAAAAAAAAAAGAAGCAGAATAAAAATTAAAATCATACGGCTAAAAACATACACCTTTCTAACGTTCCGAAACGTCACATTAAGTAAATGGTCTTGCCTGAAACCCGAAAAGACTTACCCCGAGCGAGGTTGAGGACGCGCTCCGGCCTAGAACGCGGGCAGCGCTTCCACACCCGCAGGTCTGCGTGTCTCCCGTCTACGGGATGCTTGTTGCGCCTGAACTGAAAGCTAAAAACCGTCCTCTCTCCCTTTCCCATAATCTCCATCTCGTGTTTCTCAGTCGGTGGTTGGCTCTTACTTCCGAAGCCCAAGTACTTTAATGTGATACAGTAAAAAACAATGTCTATATTGTATATATCTTATTTATATATAGTGTAGCTGAATAGTAGCAACTTAAACCCTGCACAGACTTTCCGGAAAATAATCTTTTATTTGAAACACTTACATATATAAATAATCTTATAGGATCAGCACCTTTTTTTTTTTTTTTTTTTTTTTTTAATTTTCCCAGGAGTTGGGTTTTTCTGCTGTTCTTTATCAAGGGATGTGCCAATTTCTGAACTCCTATCACAGCTATAAATTTCAAGTTATTGACCATCTGGATGAATTGCTAATGATGATTTATCTAGAATCACACTACAGTCACCTCTACTGGAGAAACCACGATCTACACTATAGTCCCATATAGCTAATGATAGATACACAGTATTTCTAGCATGAGGCTGATGAGCCATCAACCCAAGGTATTCTGTTTAAAGCACACAAAGTAGCAAGAGTTTTGGAAACGTATCCGCACCAAAAAAGTTTTGCAACAACACAGAGCGGCGTCAGGAACAACGTCTGAGAGATGAAGGCGTGGAAGCCACGTATATACAGCGTTTAAAAATTAGACTTATCTATATTGAAATATTCAAAGTTGTATTTCTAAGCTATACATCGGTATTCTATAATAAACCGTTAGAGAAATTATCCCTTGTTTTGAAAATATTATTATTATGACTTCGATGTGTTACCTGTTTCGTAATGAGTACTTGTTTGGGGGGGGGG